CCGCGGCGCCGTTTGCTGCTCTTTGAGTTGCTTTTTTTCCCCCGTTCCCCTGGGGACTTGTTTTTTCCCGGGTGCAGAAGGGAGGCCAACTATTGTTGTGCAGCTCTCCCTGCGGAGCCGCCGCGGAGGCCGCGCGCTGCAGAGCGCGGGTTACATAACGCTCCCGCCGCTGCGGGGCACGCGGCTGCCCGGCGACCCGGCTGCGAAGTCAGCGCGGATCAGCGGCAAGGCCGTCACCAGGTCCTGCCGGGAACGCGGGAGCGATCCCGACCGTCCTCCCTGTCGGGCCACGCGCTCAATCCCTCTCGCTTACGATCAAGTGAAAAGTCGAGTTACATCTCGGAAGTGGCTTTTGCAAAAACCCAAGATTTCGCTTCTTTGATGAGCACTTTTGTAGGGCAAATATAGAATAAACAGCAAGCAGTAAAGGGGAAAGTGGGAACATAGCTAATAGAGAATATTCCCGGCTCTGAAAACGTAATTTGGGAGGTTTATTTTATCCTGATTCGGAAAAAGCAACCTTCAAATGCCAGGACCTACGTGGAGGTGTCCCGATGAACTCGCTGCTGGAAGCCCACAGGGATAAACTGCGGGGGAGTTTCTCCTCCAGGGAAAAGCCCAGCAATTCCGTGCTGAAAGGCGGGAGAGAGGGAGGATGGGAGCAGTCCCAACCCTTCCGACGTCCGCGGAGTCGATCCGGGGGGACGGCAGAGCTGCCCTACCTCCCGTGGCAGCGCCGGGAAGACGGGGACGTAACGAGCGTCGCTGCCGCTCGCGTTCCGTTCCCGTGAAAAAAGGGATTCGTTCACTTAACCGGGAACAAAAATTAAAGCAGAGAGGGAGAGAGCTCAGGCGAGCGGCAGGGAAGGAGCTGGGACGTTCCACGCTCCGCATAAACTCATGGATCGGGGAACGAAATGGCCTGGGTATGGAAATGGCCTGATGTGGCTATGGGGGAGGTAGCGCCAGGGTTTCCCAGGGCAGTGGGGACCGGGAAAACGCAGCGTCACCCAAGTGCCCTGGGATGGAGCTTCCCGTGGCCGGTGTCGGCTCCTCCCGCCGGAATCGCGTTTGGGGCGGGCGCCGCCGGCTCTCCTGACGCTCACGCGGC